CCCGTCGACCGTGCCCCCCCACCCCTTTGGGGACCGATGCGCCCCGACGCCCCCCGCTGAGAGGGGACTCCTGTTGTTTGGCCGCGCGAGGCTGCGCGGCCCCGCTGCACCAAACGGGCACCTTTTCAACGTTTCCAGGTGCAGTGTATTGGCCAGCGCGTGCGCACGACGTCACCTCGCGCCGGCTGTCGAACGCGGGGCATGCCCACGGCTCACCACTGTTTGTCAAACCCACCGACCACCCACGCTGGCGCCACAGCCTCAGCCGCGCGTCGGCGCGGGCGTTCACCCTTGCGCCGGCGCGCTCCTGTCGCGTGCGTGAGCATTCTCGGCCCCTCCTTCCCCACCCACCACCCCTGCCTTGCCCCGAGGGACAACGTACATTTGTTTGCAGCGTGGCCGGCTTGCCGCGGGCTTGTGATTCGTGGGCGCCGCGCCGCTTGAGGCCGGGCGCCCGCGGCTCTCCCCTTCGAAAGCGCTGCCAGAGCTGACGCCTTTGGGCATGCGCCGCCGCCTTGCACCCCCCATCCTTTCACGTAATACGCACGCCTAAACCTCCCGCGCTGGGTGAGCGAAACGCGGGGGTTGCGCCAGAGGGAAGGCAGCAAAATTGGTCCCGGGGTTTTTTGGTGAGCAGGCACCCGATCCGTGATCGCCGCCTCTCCCTACTGGCAGCGCCCTGATTCGTCTGTTGGTCTAGATTGCATTGTTGTTTGGGTGGCCTCTGGACCCACCATTGCCGCTTTCGAGGGCGGCTGCTGGGCCCTTGGTGGACCCACCATCCCTGCGCCGCTTGGCGCCAGGCTTTGTCGCCCGTCGCTGGCTGCACACACGCGCCAACATGTCGACACCTCATTCGTCATCACATGCTCACCACGCCACGCTCCACACAACACCATGCAATGTCACTCTGCAAGTAAGATCCAGATTGCCTGGTGTTGACCTGAGACTTGGGGGGTTGGGGAGGGTCGTGCGAGGCATCGTGCGGCGCCCTGCTGTTGTAAAAGGGAAATTGGTGGTGCGGACAGCCCTTCTGCCACCCACAACTCCTGTGATCAGCACGCGTGCCCACCTGAGCAACAGGCAGCGTTTGCACATTGCACACACCTTGCTGCTGGTGTGTGTACGAGTCGTGACACACAGCCCGACGTAGCTACTACACAGCGTTCAACCTGCCCCTCAAAGCCGGCCTTAATTGCTGGGGCGGCCGCGCCTTGACCAACAGCAGCTACTGCGACCTCAACACGCGTGAGCACACAGAAAAGCGACATTTGTACTTCCACAGGCCCTCATCCCAGCCTCAAGTGCTTAGACCATCGGCTCCTTGCTTTTGCTGACAACTTGTCATTGAATGTACATCTTGAATGTACATCTCCCAGCCCGCGCACTGCGGCTCAACGCACTGCGCCTCGCAAGGTTGGCCCCCTCACCCGTGTTTCAACCCGCGTTCCGCGCAGAGAGATGCGCCGCCAACTACCCCACGTGCGGCAGGGTGGGTACCCCGTGCTGCGTCCAAGGCGGCGGCGCTACGACCACGTACGCCTGCAACGGCTACCACGCGGCCGGCTACTGCTGCAGCCAGACCAGGAGGGCAAAGCCTGTCAGCCTGCAGCAAGTGCCCCGAGGAGTGGCGGTTGCGTTTCAAGGCGGACAGCTGGGAGGCGTGGTAGTGCGCGGGGCGCCGGCGACACGCGAGCGGGCGTGCGGGCTTGTTACATACGCAGCAAATCGACGTTGTTATGTTCCATTGGATCCTGCATCCCCCATGGCGCTTTTGTTATCTATACTGTAGTTGAGTAGTCCCCAGATCCTTCCGGCCACGAGTACGTTTATGCTTTTGGGTTTACCTTTGCACGCAATTGCCCAAGACTTGGCCCACCGGCACACGCACGCACGCGTGCGGGCGGGCGGCGCCCGCACCAATAAACGCTGCCGCCTTGGCTTTCGCGCAGCACCGATCTGGCGGGCACGCGTGCGTGTCTGCTTCCCTCCCTCATCCCACCTGTTTGGCTCTGCACATCTACCTACCAATGCCAAGACCGCGTCCCACTGCAATGCCGCCATGACTCGTGATTAACGGCGGCAGAGACAGGCATGATCGCGCCTGCCAGCAGAGGCACGCACGCCTGTTTCTGCTTGTCCGGATGCATTGCTATTGGCATGGACACGGGCATGGTGGTGCTGGTTTGGGGTCGCAACTCTTGATGGCAGCACCCCATCACACCCACGCCCAAACATATGTTTGTCAGGGCACCATCACCGGCGCTGGCCGGCCGCGAGAGCACGTTGTAACGCTGGGCTTAGGCTCATCGCCCTGCACGTGTGCAGGGCCGCCTGTTGCTGGTCATCAGCAGCAGTGACCAGGGGCGGGGTGCCGCGGAGGCGCGGGTGCGCTCGCCTGGCCCGGGCACATTCACTCATCCCAGGAGCCACGAGGCGAGCCACGGCCAACATCCATGAGGGAGGCGGAAACACAACTCACACCACCCGAGGCGCGGCCAGCGTGCCCTGCGGCCCATCTTGGCAGCGCAGTGACCATCACGCGCGAAATGCGAGGCAGCGTGCGGCCTGCTCCCTTTGCCTTGGACGGGCAGCCTCTCATGTATTCAACCCTGGCGAGGCGCCGCCGCAACGATGGCTGCTGCTCCGCCTACAATCCCGCCGCGAACTGCCCCTCTCCTGCCTGGCACCGTACAGAGCAGCGCCCTCTAGGCGGCCTACATGAAGTCGCCGCACACGCCCAGTACTTGGTGGCATGATATGCTGCTTAGCGCGCCGTTGAGTGGTACCGTACCTTTCTACATCAGTACACTGAGATCGGGTGGCCGTGACTCAAGGTGGACGTCGGGTTACCAGGTGCCAAGTTTCTCGGCGATCACATGATATGCGCTCGTGAGAGGTTTGAGAGCTAGGTTATCACCGGACGCCCCGTGCTAGGCCCCAGGGCAATACTGCGGGTTCCTGCCAGACCGCTGCAGGCAGTCTGCCGCCCTCCGAGCTGCTCACTTTTAACCATAATCAAGCTCAAGCCCATATGAAGTCACTGTCGGCAGGATGGCAGCTACGCGGGTCTCTGCCAGGGTGGTCGATGGCCACCGCGCTGACAGTGCCAAGACGCCACCCCGTGCGATATGCTGGTGAAACCCGTGTACTTTTGATAAGAGTGGCCTGCTACGGTCTCGTGCTGGCGTTGCTGGTTGCTCCGGCCTCAGGTGTGCTGCCCAGACTGTGCACTGCAGTGCGCTGGCACGTGTGGCTGAGCCCAGCTGGGGACACAGCTGGGCAGCCGCATGATGGGTGATGATCACCGTGCTCTTGCATGTTCGTGAGTGTCGCCCTCTGTTTGCAGTCCCAGGTGTATGTGTAACCACAGGGTGTGGTAATGGGCCGCCCATTGACAGCCACGCTTGCTGCCCTTCGACTGCATACTTTCGCACCCCCGCCCGGCCCAGCTCTTCCAACCGCAACAACGCGCCGGTGACTCCCAGGCCAGGGCCTTCTGCCCAGCGCTGCACCGTTTGGGCTCGGCAACTCGCCCCAGAGCATTGTGGCCAACGCATACGCCTCCGCTGCTAGGCAGCTGAGCCTGGCCAAAGCCTGGCTGCAGGCCTTCAAGGCAGCACCGGCGACGGCGTGCGTGGGCACATCAAGGAGCTCCCTGTGCTCCTCCGAAGTTGCAGAGTGTGCGTTGCGCTGCCCGGACGCTAACAACCGGCTCGCGCTCCGAAGCTGTCCTACTATTCACGCACATATGCTTGCTTGAGATGTTGGAGAGCATGCCAGGGTTGTGTGGGACTGTGGACGAGTAGTGCAGGGTGAAACATACATCTCTACCAAGTCTCGAATTCATTGTCAATCAATTTATCCTTACTGCTGCGCACTTGCTGTCACGGCACCCACCACTGACGCAGACGGCGAGCAATATGCCACGCTGATGTTTGCGACGTCGCCCGCCGCGTACAGCGCCCTGGATCCGCGCGACGTCGGCCCCTTTCAAGTCATCCCTCCTGCGCGATCCCAGGGCAGCTGCTCCACCTCTACAGCCTTCGTCGCAGGCATGGCTGCAGAGGTGCGAGGGCGCCATGAAAGCACTGATGCTGCATGCCGCTGCACCAGCCGCCAACAGTGATCGTGCCAGTGGCCGCTGTCGCAACTGCAAGAGAGCGCGATGGGTGCGTGCGATTGTGTGCATAAAAATAATGAAAACGTGCGTTGTCGTGCGCGGTGCGTTTGCCAACTTGTTCTGCTGTGCAAGCAGCAGACCCGATCACCTTGTCCCAACCCCTGCACTCTTAAATCGCCCTCTGCGGCGGAACCCTGCAGGCCGCAACCGCCAGCGCCCTCGGCCAGCCAGTGGCAAACGTCGGCAGGCTGTCCGTGCAGGACCTCCACTACTGCGGGGGGGAGCGCACCTCCTGCCTCACAGGGGCGACATTGAACGCTGCGCTTTCGCAGCTTGAGAAGCGACAGGTTGTGCTGGAGGACTGCCTGCCCTACCAGCAGCCCAACCCCCGGGTTGCCGTAGCGCAGGCGTCGCTCTGCGCCAAATCCTGCCAGATTACCAGCCCCCTGGCATCCAGGGGGTCGTTCAGGTCCGTGCCCATATCGCAGGTTTGGCAGGCGCAGCAGCACATCAGACGATTCGGGGCCGTGGTGAGCAGGCGTGAGCGTGTACTTGTCAACGTCACTGCGCGTTTGCGCGTGTGCACCTGTATTTATGGGGGCGGGGGTGATGCAGGGGCCACTTCAGCAGCATCGCTTGCTTCTGTCTAAGCAGGATACTCGTGCAAATGTTCAGCAGTGCTGTGTGCGTGTGTGCGTGCACACGCACACACGCACGCACGCGCGTGCACACACACACACACACACACACACACACATACGCCGGCACACACATATACACGAGCGTGCGCCTGTGCATACGTACTTCTGGACGTATTGCACTCTGTAGCACGCACATGCGCACGTCTCACTCATTGAGGGTTTTGCCACGCCTGCACGAGCGCATGCACTGCCAGAAATTGCCCGCTCTTGTCCGTTTTCTCACTGGTCCTTGCTTGCCGTGCGCGCTCCACAGGCAACACGTTTTGATATTTACAGGTAAGACATACACCAGTCAAGGTCCATGTCTTGATGCAGGCTGCGGGTGCATGAGCACATCACTGCTGTTCCGGCATGTGTAGGGGCTTCTCGCAGCGTGTGCCAGCCCTCACCCCTGCGTTTTGTCGCACGTTGTCTCACGGCGGGGCACTACAGCGACTTCCGGAGCTTTTTTTCGGACGCTGGGGCGGTCTACCGCCCCTCACCAAGCAGCAAGTTTGTAGAGCACCACGCCGTCCTGCTGGTCGGGTGCGCTGGCTGCTTGAGGGAAGATGCTTGGGGCTGTTTTCCTTCATCAGTTCTTGTTTCAAAGCTGTTTTGTTGATGTTTGCTTGCACCCTGACTGCATCTAGTGACCAGGCGGTTTTCAGCAGTGCAACATGACCGCTTACCCCCACCACCCCCCCCCAGGTATGACAACGTGAACCAGTTCTGGATAGCGCGCAACTCGTGGGGCCCAGGTGCGGCCTTGGAGAGTGATGGACACCCGGCTGGAATAAAATTGGTCGATGCACATGTGAGTCCTCCAAACAGACATGCACGCATTCATAAGACCTAGGACCCATGCATGCAACCCAACGCTTACATCCCAGGTTTTGCCCAAGAAGGCAGCTTCAAGGTAGGCTTGAGCTTGGCCTTGCTACTGGGCTCCAGGGCAACGGCGCTCGCTCCCATCAACACAATCACACATGAGCCAACCTCAAGATTGCACCCGCTGCTCAGCACCACAGCACTCCGCGTACCGGGGGCCCAGCGCAGCCACGAGGGCGCCTTTGCTTTGTTCGACGCAGCCATACAGCGGGACTGCGCGAGCTGATACGGCTGTGGAGCTCCTAGCAATTTTGGCAGTGCAATCTGGGTATCATGCCTCACTTTGCAGGACTTCAGCTGTGGTTTGTTTGCCGGTGAAATCGGGCTTTCTTCTTCCCCCAGGTCACCCTTGTAAAGGGACCAGGGGACAAGTCTCACCTGACATGATATAGGTTTTGAAAACTCACACACCCATGCGCTGTTGGCTCTGCTGTGACAGGTCGCGTTTGGAGTGGCGAGCGTCCTGAGCCCAGGGGACACTTTTGGGGTCGTGTTTAAGCCGTCCCTAGCAGCGCCAAAGCGGCCTCCTCCGCAACTGGCGGCTGCACCCACCCTGCCGAATGGCTGCAGCTACTACCAGGTAGGTGCTGGGTCGGCTGGCGAGCGAAGATTTTCTGCGATGCTGAGGGCTGATCAATACTCGGACGTGTTTACGCCATCAAACGCACCGATCGGATCCGCCTCGCTTTCAGGCGGTCCCCGGTGACTACCTGTCGGGCGTCGCTGACCGCGTGGCGGTGCCGGTTGAGAAGCTGCTGCTGGACAACCGGGACACACTGAGGGACCTGGACAGCCCTCTGGCAGGCAAAAGACTCGCAGTGTGCTCCATCGGGGTGTCGCCGGCACAGCCCGCGCCCGCGCCTGTGCCGGCGCCGGCGCCGGCTCCTGCTCCCTCAACCCCCCCGGCTGCTTCAGTTGTCGCGCCGTCGCTGGTCAGGTCGTTGCCATCCGACTCGCGCACGGCTCAGCTGCGGTCGCTGCTGGGGTTCAAGGCTGCGATAGACAGGCAAGGCACGCTGGCCTGGTCGGCTGAGAGGGCGGCCAACGCCGGGTACTGCAGCTTTTTTGGCATCACGTGCGACACACAGGGCAACGTGGCCAAGATTGAGTTCAACCAGGTCAAGCTGGGGGGGACGCTGCCCCCTGCGAGTGTTCTCAGAGACCTGACAGCGCTGACAGGGGTTGAATTGGACACAACTGGCATCACCGGGACCCTGCCAACAGACTGGGGCGTCCTGACCCAGCTGCAGGACCTCAGGATTTGTCGCAACTCCGGCATCACGGGCACACTCCCGCGCACCTGGGCGGGGCTGGCGCGCCTCAAGGTCCTGTACCTCTAGTGAGTGCACCTGGTGATTCTGGTCTTGGAGTCAGGTGCACTTCCCATGCACAATAGGGGTTTGTGGTGGCTGCTGGCGGCGGACGTGTCATGGTCATTCAATCGTGGTCAGCTGCATTGGAGGGAATGCCACCTGCAATAATGAAAGGCATCCTGCGCAGCCCTGCCAAACTTGAACACCCGGCCTTGGACCTGCATCGCCCCACCCCCTCCCTTACTGCCTAGTATGAACAAGCTCACCGGCACGCTGAGCCCAGAGTTTGGCACGGCCTGGCTAGCAATGGAGCTCCTATCACTGTCCACCAACAGCTTCATGGGGCCGCTGCCCAGGGAGTGGGCCGGGATGAGCAGGCTCAGAACGCTGCACCTCTAGTGAGCATTTCTCCTTGCCAATTTTCAGAGTGAGGGAGGGAGGGAATTTGGTAAAATAGTCTTGGTTGGGGTCGACCATGGGGTTGACCATGGGTTTGACGCTGGGGTTGACCATGGGGTTGACAGCTGAGATGTCTCCAGGTAGCTTGCTTGATCCTGGTGGGGTTTGTAGCGTTTCACCGCACAGGTTGCGAGCCAAAATAAATGGCAAGGGCGTGAGGCCTGCTGACACGTAGGCACAGCCACACGCGAGCATATGCAGAACGGGCGGCTCGCAAACACACATTCTTCCACTTCTCCCTTCCACACCGACCCGTAGCCGTCGCCTGAACCCCCGTCCTCTTGTCTTATCCTGCGCCCAACCCCCTGCCCACCCCTCTCTCCCCCTTGTTTGATCCTCCGCCCAGCGACAACAGGCTCACCGGCACGCTGAGCCCCGGGTTTGGTTTCGCCTGGCCGGTGATGGAGAACCTTCTGCTGTCCAACAACGCCTTGACGGGGCCGCTGCCCAGGGAGTGGGCCGGGATGGGCAGGCTCAAGACGCTGTACCTCAAGTGAGAAACATTTATATTGAATTCAAGAAGTTCTGCTGTTCTGCCTGACAATCATGCGCTCCCTTGTTCCATGAAACAGCCGGGGTGGCCATGGCGCGGTCGCCACAGGCGGTTTGAGGTGGGGGAGGAAGGGGTTGCCCAAGTCGCAGCCAGCACCAACGAGAGAACAATTCACACATCCCTGCCCTGATGCCACTTTATACCTCCGGGCCGGGTTAGTAGAGGGTGGAGGGAAATGGGATGGGCCTATGGCTGCAGGCTCGACGGCCTTTGTAGTTCCCCTCACGCAAGCGCACACACACCGGCACGCACAAACCCCGCGCCCACATGCACGCACGCACGCAAGCGCGCACGTACGCACGCGCGCGCACACGCACACACACACACACACACACACACACACACACACACACACACACACACACACACACACACACACACACACACACACACACACAC